GCGTGACCTTCTGAGTGACCTGGGGAATAGATGAATGGGCCTGGGGCGGGGGGGATATGCGACATGCGTCTCTCATTCGGGTGGGAAAGTGAAGGGGGCGTGGTCTCCGGCACATTTCCCAGGATTCCATGGCATGGCCAAGCTTGTCTGCTACAAAAAAGACTGAGAGTACCATTCAGAATGGCAGCCCGCTCCTCTGTCAGAAATTGTAAACAGTGCAGAGTGATCAAAGCCTACCCCTCCCCCCTGGACCCATTCCATTTGTATGCGGGGGGGGGGGAGCAGGGGGGTCCAGCACCAGCCTTGAAGTTTGTCTTGCCTTGGCTCCCCCCCCCCCCCCCCCCCCCCCCCCCCAAGGCGAATGGAGCTTAAAGCACTGGACTGCCGACCCGCGGTACAATTAAAAACCAGAACCCCCACTGTACCCCTTTTACCCATGTCGTGCCAAGGACATTTGGGGTACAACTTAAAACTAAAACCCCCTACGCTCCTTTGGAAGTATCTGGAAAGTTTATTTGGTGTTAGGAGTCTTGGAGTAACATGGGCAGATCTCTAATCCCATTAGCCTGTTTGAAAATTCATTTCCCATCTGAGATGTCAATGACGATAAATGGTTCCTTTTGCGGGGGGGGGAGGATGTGAGTCCCGCTGGACAATCCGAGGAGGAAGCCGACTGGCGATGCTGTGAGAGCCAGTGATGTCAGAGATGAGGCACGTCGGGACAGTAACATTTCAGTTCTGATGTCACTTTTGGAAGCAACCAGGGGAACATCTCAGATTTCCTTACCGGCAATGGTTACCTGGCTACGCCTGTGATGACGTGTTTTTTATTTCTTCACGACACTATTTGACTGAAAACCAAAAGCCAATTAAAATCAATAATCCATTATATATAGAGATCGATTTTATATACAAGGTATTTAAGTATGATAATATTTCCCATTTAAATATGGTAATGATAACTAACTTCTAACACTCTCACCCTGCAGTGACCGTGACTGGAGTGAATGTCATTAAAATCTCGGAGCAGTCCCAGTCTGGACAGAACTTCAACTTATTTCCCAAACAGAAAAGATTAGGCTGTTTGATCACTAGAGGGCGATATTCTTAAATTAGGCATGGGTTTTGCACATAAAAATCCGTATACTCTTAGTAAAAAAAATGAAGGAAAAAAGAAAAGCACTAAATTGTTAGTGCTTCTAGTTATTAGATTTGGACATATACGCACATTTTAAAACGTTTTAAGGATTCTTTTAACAGTGGTTTGCAATAGCAATATCAATCCATACATTCTAATCAAGATATAGTGCAGAAAAGTATCAGTACATCTCAATTAGCTCAAAATTTTTTATATTAACAATAACAGTTCAGTGAGAAAAAAACGGATTTTTCAGTAAAAATATAAGTACAATTTGCAAATGTAACCAATTACTATTAAAATTGCGTAGTTTCAAAGAAAATGTTTAATTCTTTCTAGAAAATGAAACATGGCACTAATTAATCTTCAGCGGAAACGTTGATCTCTACGGGATGTGGACAACCCATCTTGCGCTGTGATTAATGTAGCGTGTCAGATCTGTCACAACAAACATGAATAGTGAGCTTTGAGCGCACTGAGCAACAGTTCCGGTGGAAAAGAGCGGACAGACGCTTGCACAATGAGGGAAAATTGTACTCCTTCAAAAGATTGATTTCCTTCACGGTTTCTGATGCACCTACCGTTTAACCTACAAGGAAATTAAGTGCAAAAATCATTTGCATACCCACCTACCAGGTAAGAGCAGTAATGCATGAACACATTGGCCCTTGACACAACTGGTTATTTTTTGTATTTTATGTGTTTTTTATGACTGATTTCTAGCTAGACCATATCCTTCGTCGAATCAGTAGCAGAACCTGTTAATGTTTCACTGTCAAGTCTGCTAAAGTTTTTTTTCCCTTTGATATTATTAAGGAGCCATAATTCTGGGTCATGGCTGAGATTTAATCATTGTCCATTTGGTATTCAGGGGGGAATTTTCAAGACGACCTGTAGCATTCTTGTTTTGGTAGTTAAGATGAAAAGGCGCCTTTCCCATCTAATCAAAATCATTAATAGCGCAAAAACACATCGTAATTAAAATTTTCAGAGAATAAGCCTAACTTATAGCCTACTCACAAAAAGCAAGCCAGTGGGTGAAAGACCAATTTATATAGAAATATTTCCGGCAATTGGCTTCCTGTAGTTAAGCTTACTGTTTTATTATTATTCTTCGTTTTTTTACAGTACTTCATAACCATTTGTGTTTATTTGGTTTGTGCAGATCTTGCTGGTTTTTGCTTATAGTCGGTTGGTGAAATGTTATGAATGCATTGTGAATAGTAATTACACGGCATTTACGAACGCTTCCCCCCGCGTCGGCTTCCATTAGCTGCCGGTCAGCCGTCTGACCGCTTTTCATGCGCTACCGCTTTAATCCGGCCGAAGGTTAAAGTGCCTTCTCGGGACGAACGCAGTGTCATTGATAGTAAACGATGAGCGCCCACTTTCAGTCGCATGCCTATATGGGCAGAAGCTTTATCGGAGAGGCATCAGAGTAGAGGTACGTTGGAGGCGGCGATCCCGAAAGGGCGCTGGGCTGCAGCGGTCCCGACGCTCGCTGAAATCCGCCAGTCCACCTGATCGCGCTTCCCATTTTTCCCGAAATTTGCCTAAACTGATTATTTCTCATCCGAGGTGGCAGCCCTGCAGACGGACGTGTTAGGAAAGTGTTAAATGCAGTGCAACATATCGGTCAAAGTCGTGTCAACATGGTTTGAGGTCATTTTTCTTGCAGTGATTTGCTTGGCTGGAGCCGCACCGCTTGTTCTGCGCTTATTGCGCCTATTCAGGTTCTATCCAGCGATCTAGCTCTCGCTCCCGACCGCTCCGGCAATTACTGATTCTCCGGCCCTCCTCCAGCCCCAAATGCCCGTAACAGGATTAGCCTTGATTATGAAGAAATGTCCCGCTGAAGGCTTTACATTTTCTTGAGCAAATAATACTTCGCACAATCCAGCTGCTTGTTCAGGGATTTTCAATGGCTGAGAAAAAGACATAATTCCCCCACTCCCAGCAGCAATTATTTTGGCTGCTGATCCTGAGATGGCCATTTAAAAAGTATAGATTAGGGGCTAATATCCAGTGTGAAAAGCAAAAAACAAACTTAAGACAATAGGCCCATGAGCATCAGTGTGTGCGATGGCCATCCAGCGCCACTGCGGACGACCATGAAACATGATGACAATGAGAAGCATTCAGTCGTTAATCGCCAACCTGAACCTGTTGCAAAACGATGGAGCTAGATGGAGGAAAGGTCTTTTGTAAACCCTTAGATATCCCACAATTCCCCGCACTGTATTGTTTGGATACAGTGGAAGAGTGCCAAAGGACACTGCCACCAGAAATATAGACCTATTTTATTTCTGCATCTGTGCATTGCACACGCACCACAAATCAGTGCGGTGGTGAACAGTGTTCACATCATGCATGTATGCGGTGTTTAACACAATCTTTCCACATTAATTTTCTCTTAGAAAAAGGTAATTGTCTGACGGCAATCTCTTGGCATATACAGTATAGGAAGTGGGTTTATGGGAGATGTGTAAAATACAGTTCCTGTGCTTTCCATTTGTGGTGAGATTGCTTGATAAGGGGTAACTAGGGTTCATTGCTTATGTGTGAGTAATATGTAATGAATGCCATTTAAAGACACGACTTGAAAGGCAAGGTGCTATAGACTGCTGTGAAAACATCATTGTTTGTGTATTTCCTCATGGCTTCGAGCCACGGACATGGCACAATTCCTTGATAATCCCAATTACAAGGTCTTTAGAAATACCGTATGACTTCACTGTAAAATACTGCCCAGGCTTCAACATTAAGGACATTATTGAATTGTTCATTGTGCAGCTGGGAAATGCGGTCTGTCGCTAATTATCAACGTAAAGAAGGCAGGGGATAATTTTATGTTTTTCACGGATTGTAATTCGTATTTTAATTCCAAATGGTTTGTTTTATTAGCCGCTTTTCAAATGTTTGCTGACATCAAGTCAAAACATAGGCGCATTAAACAATTTAAACAAACCAACCAAAAAAAAGCATCCCCTTGGTCCCATAGTACGGCCAATATTGGAAAAAATGCGTTTATGTCTTGGATCAGAGGGACCAAATGACCCCAAACTGTCAGAATAAACAAAGCGGTTATTCGCAATACGACACTTGAGATCAGCACCTGCTACTCTAGACTGGATAATGATATATTTGAAAACCTCCTGCTTTAAAGTTGGGGAGTTGCCCATTTATTTTACCTGAAGAGCCGCTTTACTTCCAACAGATCATGTGTAAAATGCCAGAGACAAAGCGATAACTGTTTCTGCCGCAAAGTTAAGCGTTTGGATGTTTAAAGAATTTTTTTATTAGTTCGGTTACTTCACACATAGGCGCACCGTTGCATCACCGTCTACGCCGATAAGATTTTTATCTCAGATTATTTGATTTTTTACTATCAGCATGGACGTTTTCCCGCGCGTGGTATAATAATGCGCACCAGTGTTCACTGTACAATACGAGCACTGTACTCTCACATGCCGACTGTCCAAACAAGGGTTTGCAGAAAAAAACGGGCGCAATTTTAACCTAATGCCAGCGTTAATCATTTACACTAAATGCAATAAAATAACGCCGCAGCGACGCTTGTGTCCTGTTATCTAAAGCGTATTATTTACTGAAAAGGGCAGTTTTAACATGCAAAAAAAAAAAAAGTACAGAAGAGCTTCTTAACCGAACTCCTTGAATATGTGAAACGCTTAAAAGATAAGGTGAGTGAATCATTTACAAAGCTGGCTCTTTCATTCTGGAGTGGTCTATTAGCGGCTGTAACGCGCACTGAGCTGACCGGCAGTCT